TATCATCTAGTACAAAAGGTGCGCTACCGTAATCACAAATTCAGACACCGTGTTGATAAAATTCCTTTTTCCTTCCCAGAGTTTTTCCTCTGCGTTTTTGTTGTTTTCTTTTTGTATTCTTTTTTTGCACTGGATGATATCAACTACTGCGAGATGTGATAGAGAGATTTGTGAGCTAGGGGCTGCACAGAGACCGCAGGGAGGTGTAACTGTGAGGGAGCGATTTTGTTTATGTTGTTCTGGAGAACGCTTCTTGCCTGTTTTCTTCTTTGGGAGATTACTTATCAGCTGCTGTTTCATAATTGGAAAGCAGCTATCCATGAGACTTTTATCGCGGGAGCTGTCTTTAAGGTCATCAAGGGGTCAGCCGGTTCACAAGTGTGAGGCATACCTGTTGTGTGTGGAGCGTGCGTCAAGGTGAGCGGGGCCAGCCTTAAAAATTCCTCAAGCGGTTCCAGAGCACTCCAGGCACTCCAGACCTCCTCTGTGATACGGCATGGGCGTTGTTCCATCGCGCCTACCTGCATTCGTATGATCAAATGCTCGACTAATACCCGGCTTTTCTCTCATCTGTCCACTTGATCAACGCTCCTTACCACCACTCCATACACCGTAATAGTGTTGAAAGTAGCAGGTATGATGCTATTGGTCAAAGAATGTTGACCATCTGTTCAGATAAAAGAAAAGCCGAATACTATTTGGGTTGAAATGTGTGGAAGAAGGGTAAGCGCGGCGTAGCCGCGCCCGCCCAACGACCGTGCGCTATCTCAGAAGGAGGCGCGTGGGGGTCCTTCAAATGCCCTGGATGCTCTGCAGAACCTATAAATCCTCCTCTACTCTGATAGCATCATGCTCAAATGGGCAGACAACCATTAACTGGAAACTATGCTTTTCGAGAAACTTTCCACTGGGTATGCGCACACTACCTTTCTTTTCAAACAGGGCACATTATTGTTGGGGATTCCCCAACAAGGGGAAGGGTCATATTTGGTTGGTGTTAGGAGAAAGGAGGGGGGGTGCCTGCTGAGAGAAATTTGGAGCGTTGGGAAAAATTGTTCCTGGCTGTTGACTTTTTGCGGTTTTTCCTGTTTCACGTCGACTATACAGGGGGGGGGGCAAAAAAGTCATTCCGGCCGAGTCACATATGAGCGAAGTTTTCGCAGCCCAGACAGAGGAAGTGGATATGAGTACCAGGGCGGAAGATACCCAAGATGTTCCTCTATAAGCAGTAGCTGGCCGCCGCCGTTCAC